AACAGATCTTCTCCGAGTAACATGAAGTGCTGAAGCAGGATTTCCTCCATATCCAATGTACAGCAAATTAGCCAAACTACCTCGTGGATCCAGCATGGTCATAAGAGCCCACTGCAAACAAATTTTCAATATAAATAAATTTGACAGATAGCACAAGAAGATCAAAAGTAACGGACTAAAAGTGACGTGATAAAAAAATGGATGTAGACAAATATTTACAAATAAGTCATCCATTTGTAGAGAAAATGAGGATATTCTTCCCCAAAAACACAGAAAAGAGAAAGAAAAGTAGAAAAGACACAAAAAGAGATAAACAGTAACCACAGGCCAATTTTTTAGTTCAAGGAAACAATATAGAAGATAAGCAATTATAGCAAAACAACTCCGAAGCAGTATATAAAGATAGGCCTCTCCCAGACAAATTGGAGAAGCAACAATCAAGCTTCCATCATAATAAGATAGCCAGAGTAGCAGATTCCTCTGAATAAGGACTCCATAACTTTCACAGAATACTGGCACCAAGTGTTTTACCAAGTTATAAGCATATCATCACCATGGGTTCATTTAATAGTATCTTTTGTAAGCCTCCAAAAACATCCATTATTTTTTCATGTTTAAGAGGACTTTTCAGAAGGCTGATGTCAGATGTTTCCACGCATCATGCCTTCACCACCATCAAACAACCAAAGGAATAGAAACAGGGCATGTGCAAGAAAGTAAATTGTTTAAGGTGGCCAAGAGAAAGCTGTTGTCACATAGTGTAGCATGTTGGAATGCGTTAAAGCCACCAAGAATGAGCAGGAACTAGATAAAGAGTAGTTAGCACTGCAAACCTCAGATAGAAAACCCTTCAGAGTTAAATTTCCCTGTGTGGTTCTCTCTGCAGCATCCTTGTATGGAGCCTCACCCCAAGGACTGAAATATAGAAATGAATAGCACATTTACAAGTACTATGTAAACAGATGAAATCCCATTACAGCAATTTGCAAGACCCTAGGAAACTTGAAAAAAAAAGCAGATTGGGAAAAGGATAATATTTAGTCCTTGCTTCCAATGCAGATGCAGTCAAAAGAAAATAACTTCAACAGAAACTGAGAGGAAATGTAGCTATGCCTAATACCCTCAATGCTATATCCTAGATAATTGTTGGCAATGCTGTGAATCGATACAAAGAAAAAACAATGTTCTTCTTGTATTTGAGGTTGTCATTCAAAAACAAATTACTGTATTTGCAATCAAAGCCTCCCTTTGACAGAAAAACAACAAATTTGAGATCTTGCAATAGCAGCTGCAACAGGAAGAGATAACAAGCCAATTTTTCATATCTTCATGCTTGCTTCCCATCATCCTAATATCATAGTTTCCTCATAGTTAACAAGATACAAAGTCCTCCAGAGATTGGACAATCAATAAGCAACCCTTATACAGCATTGCAAAACTACCTTTAAAGAAACAAGAAATGGACGTGCCAAACCTGCTTTGCTTGTTACCAGCTTTCAACCATTGATCAATAGAATTTTGTTTCGATATTCTATCTACAGGAAGCATACCTTAAAATATTTTTTGACATAACAATGAAATATTCCCAAACTTTTAGGAAGGAGGAAAAATACATGCCTAGAAAAATATCCTATATTTTGTTTTATTAATTCAGAATTGGATCAAACATCTAGCTCATTAACCGAATCCAGCAATAGAAGGAAAACTAAAGATGTAGTAAATCTGCAGCTATGCTTGTTCATTTTATGATTTTGTTCTGAGATATAAATGTTTATTGCTCTTTGCATTGAAGTGGCATTTTCATGAGCTTTCTATTTTGCAACATTTAGATAAATTTAAATATGAAAAATTTGGCTCTTTCATTCCAATCCTTGAACATATGTTTTTATCATGGAGAGTTTATAAGGAGTTCAGCTTTGCATGATTTTTTGCGTTGAAGGCAAAAAATAGTTGAAATAAGCTAACTAGTGTACATATATATAGTACTTGCAGAGATAGGTGGGGCCACTCTATTGTTTTAGTGTTTTGCTCATGCATAGTACAGGACAATATGTGAATTTCTGCCCCACCTCCTACCATCACCTTGTCCAATCCCATGGACAAGCATCAGAAGTGTTTTTTTTTTCCATACCATCCCTCCCCTTTATACTTGAGCCAAAAACACCCTAGTCCTCTTCTGTCTGATAAAGTCCAGTCCTGTCTTGAATAAAACCAGGCCTGCATACTGTTTTGAAGCAGGGTAAATTGTCTAAATTCAGACCCACATGAAGCATGGGGATGCAAGGTTGTATTTTGTTCAAACTCCCGTTATAAACTGATGACGTGTAAGTTTAAAATGAGAAACATGTATTCATTCATCATCACATATGATGTGTAAGTTAGATGCATGCAATTTGTGGATTTATTATATCATTTTTCACCCAACAGAGACCAATGCACCCAAGAAAATACACAGTGAACAAACACTGGCAAATTATAGCAAAGAAAATCAAGGAACAAAAGCAAATAACCAGACTTACTTTTCTGGAGCAGTTGAAAATAGCTCATCAAGCTCAGTAGGTCGTAAGGCTCCAGACTATTAAGTGTAAAGATTGAAACATTAGAAATTCTTTTGGAGGTAAATTACATAAGAATGGAAAAAGAAAACAAACTTCCAGGAAGTGACGATCAATAATCTGGTAACAGTTAATACATACATTATCGGTATCAAACAATCGGAACACCCGACGAACAAACTCTACAGCTTCAATTGTCAACTCTACACTCTGCACGATGACAGAACAAACTCTACAAGAATTAATAAGAACCAACACCAGACACGCAGTCCAATAATGTATATCAGTCACACACACCTGATCAGGAGCATGCTTTGATGGAGCTGGAAGAAAATCATCTCTCAGTTTTAAATCATTGCCGTAGCCAAATTTTCTCAAAACAGCCCAAGTAGTTTCAAGGCGCCCTTTATCTATGAAAAGAGAATGGAGAAACAGGAACCCTTCAAGGGTAAGCCCCCGGTCGTTGACCCCTTCTTTCTTCTTTTCTTGCACAACTCTTCTCACACCCACTATTTCAGCAGGCTGCAGTGGAGCATCAAAACATTTAACCTGGTAACCATTATTGCAACATGTCAGAATCCCCAGCAACAGAATTGAAAAGCAGTTTTGGGCTTCTTAAGGGGTATGCTACCTAGCATTAGAGGGGTTTTCAAAGAAGTTACTCTAACTGATATTCAGTGAATTGGGGTCCCTCAATGTCTTAATTTCTGGTTCCTTTTTACTAGAAGGAATTCATATTCTCCATTTTGGATTATCATTCTCATTATTTTAATAATATAGTTTGCCATTATTGAGAAAGTGAATGTTTAATACTTTTTATTGTTTCTTGTAACATTCAATTTGTCCATGAAGAAATGTAAAAGAGTAGAAAGGGAAAGGAAACCTGAAAATCATTCAACTCTTCATCATTGAGTGCACCATCCATGTCACTATCACATAGAATAAATATCCTTCTCAATGCCCTTATACATCGGGGTTGCAAAGCTTGAGTGTCTTGATCAAACAAAGGAGCTGTTGGATGAAGTACAGCTTTTTGAGCATAATAGAAAACGTCAGGGACCTACATATAGTTAACTTTGGTTCTTAAGTTCTAACCTTTTATACTGCTACCATGTGAGTTTCAACGCAGAAAATAACAAGGTTAATGTTCTAAGAAAGCATGACAACACCTCTATATGAACCAAAAAGTTCTGCCTTCCAATACAAAAGGCTAAAAATTTGGAAGCCTGGTCATTAAAACAGAACTAGTTGCAGGGAAAAAATCCCTTAGTTCTTTATCCTTTTCTACTTTTATAGCTCTCGACATCACTACCAACTTTCCGTTCTCTTACAACATTTTACAATTCATCATAACATAACGATACAAAACAGAAGAGCGCTCTATGCATGTCTTAATAAATTCTTAGATGTAATTGTTTGCTATGAAATTCAATTGCCTCTATCCAGAGAATAAATACCTGCATAAGGGTAACAGCAGAGCACTCTATACAGGTCTCAATCTCCCTATACTGTTGCATGATTGGTCCCATAACCGGCTCGAGGCTAATCGGCTGGTTCTCATCTCTCAAATCTACTTTGCAACCCACCACTATCACCGGTACCTTCACCTAATTAAAAAAAAAAAAAAAAGTAACATTACATTCACCAACTAATAACCTACATCATAATTACAAAAATTGTAAATAAGAAAACAGAAAAAGAAAAAAAAAACCTCTAATCGACGAAATTCCTGAAGCCAAAAACTACTCAAACGAGTAAGCGTCAACGGAAAATCACACGCGTAAGTTAATATAATCACATCAGCTCGCTTCAATTCTTCATTTAGCTTTCCTCTACTCTCCAAGCTTTAACAAATTCAAGCAAACTAACATTAAAAATGCGTATACAATGCGTATGTGTGTATAAAATACAATGCTTACCTTGCAGAAGTGTCGATGATAGTGATAGGAACGCGATCGGGGAAGAAATCGGCAGGGAGGCGAGTGGGTGGAAGCACGGGAGATAGATTTTCCGGGACAGATTCGGTGGCTGCCGCCGCAATCAAACTCGATTTTCCTGTTCCATGGTCTCCGACGACTACGATTCTCACACCGGTCTTTCCGCCGGCGGCAGCAGAATTCCCGCCTGGCATTGAATCTTTTTAAGAATAAAAAAAATAGAGAGCACGACTGCAAAACGAGGGAATCAAGAAATTAAAATAGAGCTTGGGAGAGTCTGCTATTTATATTTAGTAATTTATTTTTTAATTCATTTTGTGAGGGGGCACCAAGCTTGGCCACCGAGTTCGTTGGAGATTTGAGATTTTCAAAGTTATCTCGCGCGTCTAGTGAAGCTAGAACTAGCTTTGTTTTCTACTTGGGCTTTATTGTTTAGGGCTCAATCAATTAAAGCCTCATGTAGGCCCATGCATTTCTTTAAATATCCAGCCCAGTGTTAAACCTCGGCCTGCATTTTGGAAATGTTGGTGCGGAACGTGCGGGGAACCCTTGCAGCCGCCGCGCGGCAGTTCTCGGCTGCAGCAGTGACGGAGAAGGGTATTGTTAGCGGAGGAGAAGGGAAAAAGAGTGGTGGTGGAGACACGCTTGGAAGGAGGCTGTTTAGTTTGGTGTATGGAAAACGGAGTGCAGTAATAACAATAAGGAAATGGAAGGAAGAGGGACACAACGTCCGAAAGTACGAGCTGAACCGGATTGTTAGAGAGCTCCGTAAGCTGAAGCGGTACAAGCACGCCCTCGAGGTCAGAATCAGATTGATTGTCTTTGCTTTATTTTTTAGAACTGTTTGTTTTAATTTAGGAGGCTGTTGTTAATCTTAGAGTGCTTTTGTTGTGATTTTTACCTGATTAGTTATTAGACATGTAGGTATGTGAATGGATGACAAAGCAGTCTGATATAAAACTTGTACCGGGTGATTATGCTGTTCATTTGGACTTGATTGCGAAAATTCGTGGTCTAAATAGTGCAGAGAAGTTCTTTGAAGATATTCCTGATAAAATGAGGGATTATCAAGCATGCTCAGCTCTTCTCCATGTTTATGTCCAGAATAAATCGATCTCCAAAGCGGAGGCTTTGATGGAGAAAATGTCTGAATGTGGGTTCTTGAAGAATGCTCTTCCTTACAACCACATGCTATCAGTGTATGTTGCAAATGGGCAGTTGGAAAAGGTCGCGGAGATCATTCAAGAGTTAAAGAAAAAGACTTCACCTGATGTTGTTACTTATAATATGTGGTTAACTGCGTGTGCCTCGCAAAACGATGTGGAAACAGCAGAGAAAGTCTTTATGGAGCTGAAGAAGTCAAAATTAGATCCAGATTGGGTAACGTATAGTACGTTAACCAACTTGTATATCAAAAAGGAATGCCTTGACAAAGCATCGTATACTCTGAAGGAAGTGGAGAAGAGAGCTTCAAAGAAAAATCGAGTCACCTACTCCTCTCTTCTCAGTTTGCATGCGAACATGAAGGATAAGGACGGGCTACATCGAACCTGGAATAAGATGAAATCGGTGTTTAATAAAATGAATGATGCTGAATATAATTGTATGATATCTTCACTTGTTAAACTTGGGGAGTTTGGAGGAGCAGAGAATCTCTACAATGAGTGGGAATCAGTTTCTGCAACTCGAGATTCTAGGGTTTCAAACATAGTTCTTGCTAGTTATATCAATAGAAATCAGATGGAAGACGCTGAAAATTTTTGCCAGCGCATGGTGCAAAAGGGCATCACTCCCTGTTATACTACCTGGGAGCTTCTTACTTGTGGTCATCTGAAAACGGAGCAGATGGAAAAGGTTTTAGAGAATTTTAAGAAAGCCTTATGTAGTGTAAGGAAATGGACTCCTGATAAAAGGTTGATTGGAGATATATTCAAGAATCTGGAAGAGCGGGCCGACATCGAAGGAGCAGAGAAACTACTGGTTATACTTCGAGATGCTGGCCATGTGAGTACCATGATATATAATTCTCTTCTTCGAACCTATGCGAAAGCAGGTAAGATGCCAGTTATAATTGAGGAGCGTATGCAGAAGGATAATCTGGAGTTAGATGACGAAACACATAGGCTCATACAGACAACTAGCACCATGTGTGTGAGTGAAGTTTCAAGTTTGCCTATTCTGAAATAAACGGTATACTTTGTCATCTAAATTCAGCATTAGTAACTTGTGATATTCTGCTATTCAGTTTGGGCTCCTGATAATTTGCATTTGAATTTAATTTTGATAGTCTGCATTTCCCCTGGTGCATCAGAGCTCCTTGAAATCCTTTTGGATGGAATAAAGGGCCATGGTTGGTCATCTCCTCCACTCTTGTATCTTGGTCTCCCCCCCACCGCCTTATTCATTAGGGTTCTACCAATAGATAGTTATTATTCAAGTGGACAATTACTGAATACATCACGAGGCACTAGTAATGACTCTGTTTAAGCATTAATCATATTCTGTGTTTTTGTTCCATTTTTTTATATCTGTATCTCTGTAATGGAATTTGTCATAGTTATGCCCTTGATTGACCACCTTATTCAATAAGTTTTGCCCAATAGACGGTTGGAGTTGATGGGAGTATTCTTATATTCAACCAGATTAAAACAGAGTTGGTGAACCTTTGAACTGAATTAAGGGCAGAGAGGATCGGGTTGTGCATGGCCGTGGATCCTTGCAGGTTGTTTTATAAACAATGACATTGATGAATAGGGAGAGAGAGTGAGGTTGAACAGCCATTTGAAGTGGATTAGTTCCGGTTTAGTTTAGCGTAACATCATAACAAGTGGTTGGATAATCGAAAAATTCGTTCAGTGGTTGGGACAATATCCTAATAGGAAGCCATAATTCTCTTCAGAAAATACAGGTTCCAGTAAAAAAAGTTGCCCCACTACTTCAAACTATAAACTATACGGAGAAAGACATTTTTTATGCGTGCTCGATGCTTAAGGTTTGTTTGCAGAAATGGGTTGTGTTTTTAAAAATTATGTTTTTTTTTAATATTTTTTTTTGTGTTTTTAAATTATTTTGATATGTTGTTATTGAAAATAAATTTAAAAAAATAAAAAAAAAATTATTTTAATATATTTTTAAATAAAAAATATATTTAATTACAACCATCATCGCTACTATAATCTCAAATAAATTCTAATGGATACTAAAATTCTTTCCCATGCCACCTCCAAGGCGGGTCAATTTTTTGAATTTACTTTATTAATTCATAATTTAGAATAATAATAATAATAATAGAAAGCTAAAGTTTAATAGCTTAAAGTTAAAAAATAAAATAAAAAAATCAAAAATAAAATAAAAAAATCAAAACTAAATCAGGTTAATTTTTAAAACTAATAATTTTGATCATGAGATCGAGATGATTAAACAGAAGATAAAAAAAAAAATTGAACAAATTTTTTAACCATCAAAAATTAAAAAACAAAAAAAAAGCAATTAAAATAATGAGAATAAAATAATGAGGACTAAATTTAGCACAAAACTAATGAAAGAAAATAATGAGGGATTTAATAAAAAAAGAATTAAAAAAAGAGCAATTAAAAGAATGATAACCAAAATTTTTTAAAAAAATATTAAGGGATAAAATTGAGAAAAAAACTAAATTAAAAAAAAAGATAACAAAATCTAGAAAAAAGGAAGAAGAAGAAAGAAATGAAATAAAAAAACCAAGAAAATAAAAAAAATAAAAAAAAAATCAAGAGAATGAGTATCATATTTAATATATAAAACAAAACAAAACAATAAAAAAAGCAATAAAAATCTAATTGACACTGATAACCCGGTTATTGGACCTAGCGGTGTGCAAAAAAACCGAAAAACCAAATAAACTAAGAAAACCGAGAAAAAATTAATCGAAACAACCTAACCGAGAGAAAAAATCAATTAAATCGATTAGAATAGTTAGAAAAAATCTTTGTTTGGTTCGGTTTTCGGTTTTGTAATGTAGGAACCAGTTAAGTCGGTTAAAAAAAAGGCACTATAAATAGAAAAAATTATCCCCTCCCCCCTCAGTAACCCTAGCCGCAGCCCCCTCTCACTCTTTCTCTACAGTAACCCTAGCCGCAGCGCCCTCTACCTCTCTGTCTCCCTCTCCCTCCCCCAAGACTTAGAAGGATTGCTTCAAACATAAATCCATATGTTGTGACTTACATGATTGCAGAGACCACCATCCCCAGTAAGCCATGAGAACCCCAACCAACACCACATACAAAATGTTATTGTTAGTAGTCTTTCCAATGAACCATAGAAAGATTTGTTTGTGTGAGTAGGATGGATATCTTTCAATTTGTTTCCCCTTTACATTTGAGGCAACAATTTAGTGATATAATTGCTTTGCTTGCTTGCTTGCTTGCTTCATGATTTTGCATTTTGTGTTGAATAATGTAAGGTTCAGTTTCCATGACTTCTATAGAAGTCTAGATTTCTAGTGCCTGGAAATTTAGGGTTTTGATTTATAGCAGAGTTTTGGATTTGGCATGAAATCAGTGGTATTGATTTTTGGCTTTTACTTCGTTTGCACAATGCAGGGAAAATAATTGTTGTGAAAAGGCATCTTACTGGCGAGTTTGAGGAGAAATATGAGCATATAGGTTTTCTAGGTTTTTTGAAATTAAGAACCGAATCGGACCGGACTGAAACCGATCGGTTTGACTCAGTTTCGGTTGTTTTTTTCAAAAAAACAAAAACTGGTTTGGTTGATTTTTATAGTTAAAAACTGAACCGAATTGAAAATGATCACCCCTAATTCGACCCAATACGTAACTTGAGACATGACGTGGGTTGACTCCTAGGCCGAATTTTAAAAGCATGATAAAAGAAAAACAAGTACTAAATATGATATGAAAACTCAATGAAATTAAACAATGAAAGATGAAATTGCCACAAAACAATTAATCAATAAGAGAACTCAAAATAAAAGGAATTGCAATCATAATAATGAAGATCAAATTCAACAAAAAAAATAAAACAAAAAGATTAAGGATTAAATTGAAAAATAAAATCCAAACAGAAAACGAATAAAAGCAAAATAAATAGAAATTAAAAGAATGAGGATCAAATTTGATTAAAAAAAACAAAAATAAATGAATAAAATTGAAAAACAAATAAATCAAATTCGATATAATCAAAAGATTAAGGATAACTTTACAACTTTGCAAGGCTAGCACACCTTTTAAGGTAGAGGAAAGAGAAAAGAGGGGGCAGAAAAAAATTTCACAGGAGTTCTTCCATGCCATGTATGCTAACACACGTCGCCCCAAAGGGTGGTGTGCTTTTTTGGACACTTCCCAGAAGGCTACCAACAACTATTGGAAGAAGTCGTACCAACCACTTAAAAGGTGCTAGTGCCTTCTACTTGCGAGTGCTTATTCTGCATGTATTAATTATTTGTTTTAGAATTATAGAAAGACTAGAATACCTTTGACTCCATAAGATTAGTACAAGAAAACCAAGGTTAAAAAGCCGAAAGAACCCCTTGACCTTAGTGGGGAAAAAAATGACCCTATAAGCTATGTGGCAATTATACTATACAAAAAATGTGAAAATATAAAAACTCCCCTTAGACATTAGTTGTTTTTTTTTAAAGCATGAGAGTAATTACATTATGCAATAAATATGTAAAAATAAAATTATATCCTTAAGTGTGTGTTCATTGTTATTCTTTATCATTATGTGGATTGCATTATGCACAATCTACAGATGAGTTTTAGTTTTATTTATAATCCTAAAAGTTGTTAACTATTTTAACCCATAAAGATAATATATTTAATCATTAGACATTAATTAAGGTTTAAGAAAAAATAAAGATCACGGGTAAAGTTTTGTTCACCAATATCCATGTCATTGTGGATTACAACACAATAACAAAACACAATTTTTTTTCCATTTTGATTCTTTGGTTTTCTTTAATTTGATTCCTTAATTATTTTTTTATTTGCTCCTTTAAAGTTGTATTTATTTGAAATTTGACTTTGCTATTTGTTTTGGATGCCTAGCCTATGGAGTCTCGGGGTATAAAAAAAAAAAAAAAATCAGTCAATGGATTCCTAGTTTAGATCTATTAAAAAAAATTTGTTGATTTAAAATTATTGGAGCTACGGAGATTGAATTTGAAATATAGATAAGTATTCAACCTCCTTTTATTTAAATAATCAGGGCTGAATTGCACAGTCATGTAAAAGTTCAACTTTGATTTTTGTTTTTTATCACTTAATTTTTTCTTTTTTATCAATTCAATCATTTTAAATTTAGTTTATTAGGATTTTACTTAACATTGTTTTTTGAGTGCTTATAAAAGGAGATCTTATGGTATCGAAGAAAAATTCTAACATGCGTTCAATGCTAGGTTTTGTAAAATCCTGCATAATTGTATTGGTCTAAAATAATTAATGCTTGAGAAACCAAAGTTAAAAATAAAAAATAAAATAAAATAAAATAAAGAGTAGGGTAAAAGATCAAAGACAAATGTGTACACAAGCATTAGCGTGTGAAGGAAATCGTTACGCTCTAGTGGCGCATACGACTTCCTCCAGTATCGAACCATCACCTTCCTTGGTGTCTCTAGACATGTCTCAACAAACACATTTTGATGATGTTGAATGTGTTGGTGTTGCAAGAGCGTGACGATAAATTTTTCTTTTTTATCCTCTCTCTTTTCTCTATCCTCTCCTCCATTTTCATATTATTCTCTCAAAAATACAAAGGTGTTTTGTTATTTTATTTTCATGTCAAATATGGTCCTTATATTTTTTATTGTTATGTGTTTTGTTTAAAATATTTTTTTATTGATTTTTGTTTTTCAATTCAATCCCTTATTGTTAGGTTGATTGAGCATTGAACTTTATAATTTTTTTTTCAACTTGTCTTTTATAAGATGATCCCAGCTTCATCACCTTAGTTATGGGTTCAGAAAGTTAGCCTGAATTGACTTTGGTCTTTGTTTAGATCCTTTCCTAAAATTAATTTTATTTTCCAATCTCATCCTTTAACATATGGTTAGTTGGGGATGGAGTTTCATTATTTTTTTTTCTCTTTCATTTTTACAGGTTGTCCTGATTTCAAGACCTAATCGACAAGTTTTGTGAGTTAATATAAGTTGGCTCGAGGTTTTTTTTTTAATTTCTCCTTTAAACATGGAGTGAGTTTAGGCATTGAATAACTTTATAATTCTTTTAAATATGCTTTCTATAATGTTATTTTGATTTTGCGATCCAAGTCACTAGTTTGGAAAGTTAGCTCGGGTTGACTCTGGTTATTTTTTTTTATTTTTTAAAATCTTTTTCTTCTAAATTTCAGTGTTTAACGTTTGGTTGATTGAAAATTGAGTTTTATAAATTTTTTTCCATTTGTCTTTTATTAAATTATCATATTCTCATGAATTGAATTACAGGTTTTCCTAGCTAAGTTGTTTTTTTTAATTATTTTTTTATATTTCATCTTTCAATTATGGGTTGGGTGGAAGCTGGGTTTTATA